ATATTTGTAAATATTTATTTATATATTAACTTAATTATTATTAATAATATTTTTTATAAAATGAGAGAATAAATATTAAATTTTGTATTTAGTAAAGGATTTGTAAGAAGAAGAAATTTATGGTATGTTGCATTTATCACTCCATTTATTTTATTTTTAACTGAAATTGAATCATAAAAAGTAGAATTAATAGCTTAATTGGCTTGGAGAAAAAGATTTGCTTATTCTTAATTTAATTCAACATAATTAGATTGTTCTAAAGAAGAATTTTCAATTATTGACCATAAAATTAAAATGAATAATCCAAAATGAATATTTTTTTTATTAATTATTATATATCAGAAACATTTTTTGTGTACAATGGCTGGACCACTTTCATCATATTCAGATTTTGTAATCCATTTATCTTAGAAACCCGATAATGAAGATAAAATTGATCCACCAATCATAACTGAGAATTTTCTTTCACGTGGGGCAACAACCTTTACTTTCATTTATTTTGGTGCAAGTAATGTTAATTCTTTATTCAATCTTTCTGGTATTCCTGTGAACATTGTTGTACCTCCAGACATGACAATATTTTGAAAACTAATATATAAATTTAAAATTGTTACAGATCCTTTCTTACATAATAATCACATTTCATAATTGATTAGAAAGTTAATTCATGAATACCTTAAATATCAAGACCAATAAAGGATGGTTTGAACATTAATTCAGGACATCTGAATCTTTAGTCTTTGATAACAATAACATTTCCATCTGGTAATTTACAACTTCTGTTGTTTGCAGTACTTTCTTAATATTTTTTCATTTCTTCTTCATAATCAAGAGCAACATAACAAAATTACTCTTTCATTCTTCTGGCAATATCCATTTCAAATTGTGATTTGAATTAAAGACCTTATTCCTCCATTATTTTAACCAAATATTTTGTACAATCTATTCCTGCCAAATCAATCCTAAGAACTGAATCTTAAAGGAAATAACCTTCAGCAATTGGGACTGTATATGTAACACCCTCCCCAGAATCTAAAACAATACCAGTTAATCTTCCTGCAGCATAAAGTGAGAGCACTGCTTGAATAGCAACATAAAATGATGGCACATTGAATTTTTCGAAAAAGATTTATGTCATCTTTTCTCTATTATGTTTTGGATTCAATGGAGCTTCAGTTAAAAGAACTGGGTGATCTTCTGGTATAACTTTCAATTCATTAAATAATGCATGATGCCAAACTTTTTCCATATCTATATAATTTATATACATATTGTATACCATCCCAATTATTGATAATACCTTTATCAATTGGGTAATTTAATTCTAAAACATCTTTCTTAGCCCAAGCCTCATCTCCAACATAAGCTACCTCTTTATCAATTCCTTTTAAATTTCCTTAATCTTTAGGTCTTCCAACAATTGCAGAGAAACAGCTACCCTAAGAAACGCGTTCTGCAATACATGTTTTGCAATACGCTTATCCATTATCAATAAAAACTGCTTTTTGTTTTTAAGCCATATTTTTGCAAATAAATAAAAGATATCATTTTATTAAGATGACAAATATTTACATTTTCTAAATCATATCAAACCTTATAAAATACCCCCAAATATTTATAAATTATAACATATTCTTTATAATACACAACTAAAATCCTTTTTAAAATTATATTAAATTTCTATAAATTATTTTAGAATATTTACAATGAAAATAAAAACTAAACTATTAATCTCTCAATATTATTAATTAATTAAAAATTTTTATATTGTAAAATAACAATTTAACAATTTTGCTATTTTAATAATATATATAATTAAGATATATTCCATTTTTATTTGAGATCTACAAAAATGGAATTAAAAATGATAAAATTAAAAGTGAAAATGATTATATTAATTATGGTTTTAGGATTATTGATAGAATGTTCATTAATTTTTTAAAAACATATATAACTAGAAGGAAATAAAATTAATAGATGATTAATTTAAGAATTTTATATTTTATATTTAGTTATTATTCCTTTAATTGTCATATTTTTAATAAATAATTATAAAATGATATCAATATTGAGATAAAATTTGAATTGATTTAAATATAAAAATATACTATACTAATTAAGTAGTATGAAGTATAAAAGTTTAATTGATAAAAAATAATTATTCTTAAAATTAATTGATAGAGTGGTTTCAACGAACTTTGGATCTTTATGTCCAATATCCTATTTATTGTTCTTATTATTATATAAGTTTATTTAAGTTAACTTTAATTTCTAATCTCCTAATAGGAGAAGCAGCCATTGAGGGATTTGAAAGGGATCTAAGAAGCATTGATGGAGAACAAGTGCTTTTATAAATTTAAATTATATTACTTTTAAACTGTTGTTGGTGATGACATTTAAGATGGATTTTTTTTGATTTATTTTGGCTTCCTATTAAATTTAATAAATTACTAGATAGACTTGATATTTTTTCTTTTTTTCATTTTCTTTTTCAAATGTACATGATTATGCTGGACCAGTTTAAGGATGAGATACTACACTTTTGTAAGATGCATGAAATTAATAATTATCAGATTTATTTTTTGATTTCTTCATATTTGAGATTAATTTAAGTAGCATTTCATCAGTAATTTATTTTTTTGATGAACCTACATCTCCTCTATTTGTAGTAATACCACAACTAGAACCAAAAGCAGCAGCATTACGGATTTCATTACGTTCTGTTAATATTTCCTTAACTTAAAAACGTTTTTACAAAATTTAATCATATTTTTTCATTAAAGATTAAATGCTTGTTGACTTATTATTTGGGACTGTAGTAGCTGAAGATTTAACACTTTCTTAAAGTTTCAAAGGTGGAATAGGAATTTTAGGTTACTAAGGCTATTAAATTGATTGATTTTTCTTTTTATTTGTACTTGATGAAGGTTTCTTTTTAAAAGGTATTTTTGTAATTGATGATAATTAACGAGATGTTTATGTATTAATTTCACAAATGATATTATCTATATCCTAATCATTTTCACAATTATATAATTTATTTTGATCATTAGATATATTAAGAATAGGTAATTAAACATTAGTTTTATTTTTTGATTATGATTACTATACTGCAGTTTATGAAATGTCATAGATGTTATGCGATTTGCTGTCCCATGATATTTGTTCCTTGGGATAGGAACTAAATAAGTATGTCATACTACTCAGATACAGATTCAACATAGTTTTCACTAAAAATATGATCTGGAATCATTTTTTTAGTAATTGGTTGTTGATTCTAATTATTTTATGCTTTTTATTGTAATTTTAACAATTTATTTATTCTCTTCTCCATAAATTTATGAGCATTTACTTTACATAAATTGGGCTATGGCATCTTAAAAAAAGATTTAATCAAAATAAATCAATTACTTTATTCTACTCATAGTAAAAATCGCTAAGTAATTTAATTCTTGGGTCTTGTTCCTCTCTTTAATAAAATCGCTTCATATATTCATTTTCATCATGTAAATATAATTAGTCTTTAAATAGAATGACATGATCTACAGGAACATTAGCTAAAATTTCTGTAATAGGTTTGGCAAAATAAAAATTGAACTACTCAAAATATCTATAATTTCATATCTATCAAAATACTTCTCATGTATTTATTTCTAGATAAATTTGTTCTGATTAATCTTACAAAATTTACAATTAAGATTATGTAGTTGGTTATTCATAAAATTCAAAAATAAATAATCAAATTATATTAATTTTTTCTTAACAATATATTTAATCAAAATTTAGAATACTTTATCGAATTCATTTCTTTATCTTTAAGCTCTTTTTCAATTTCTAATTTTCTGATATTTTTTTCTCTTTCTATTAAATTCTATCTTTCATCATTTCTATAATAAATTTAAATTAATTACTCAATCATTAACTTTCTTTACTTTTATTCTTCTTCTATTAATTCTTACATTCTTCTCTTCATCTCTAAATTTTATTAGATTTCATTTAATCTTTAATTAATCTCTTATTATTTCATTAAATGTTCTCCAGCCTTCTCTTCTTAAAATATTCTTATTCTTCTCTCCCTCAATCTTTATGCTTCAACTTAACTTTGAGATTTTTTTTCAAATTAATATTTAATTAATTATTCTTTACTAGCATCTACTATTGCTTTATTCTAAATTATATAAACTTAATTAATACAATTTAAAATTAATGAATTTTATCCTCTTTCTCTTTATTGATTTTATTTTAATATTCCTCAAAAACTTTATTATATTTCTCAATATAAGCAAGCTTTTTCTTTTCTTTATTTTCAAATTTATCTCTTCTTTAAATATCCTAACTTACTAGAATTTACTTAAAATAATAAGGAATTTTACATTTGCTCTTTCAATCTTTATTTATTTTAGTTAACTCTATCTTTACAACTATTATTTAGTCCATTCTTTTGATTCTTCTATGTATTTTAACTTATGTAAATTTTATAATTCTTTCTTTTCTGATTATTCTTTTTATATTGTATTAAATTTGTCTTTGTCATTTAAGGCTCCCATAGACTTATGTAAAATCTTTTAAAAATGTTCTTCCTTCTATTACTTTTATTATTATTGGAAATCTTTTAATAATGACATCTATTTTTATAATAATAATTCTTTTCTTGACATCTTTGTTTCTAAAGTAACTTATCTTTTCATTTAATCCTATGATACTCTTATTTTATGTAATTAAAGTCGTTTTGAATTATCTTCCTCTTATTCTTTCAATATTCTAGATTACCATTATTAAAATTCTTCAAGATTCATTTCAGCCTTCTTTTATTTAACATCTATATCATATCTGAATTTTTAAAATTCTTTTTCATCTTCAATTAACTTTTTCTATATATTATATTATTTTTCTATCCATTTTTAATTATGTGATTAAATTTATTAATCTCTTTATGCTCGGTAAAACTAAAAACTACTTTGATACATTTTTGTTTAACCATCACTTGTACTTGATAATAATCCTCCTGTCTACGCCATATTATCAATTGGTGCAGTATTTGGTTTTATGTTTGGTTAACTTTGAATTCGTAAGAATCTTTATGATTTCTATTTTAATTATTCTAATTTATCTATTTCAAACATAATGGAATTTATATGCATATCAATATCTTTGACTAAATTCTAACAATTTATATTGTTATTTTCATATGGTTCTACATCTTTACTTAATAACCCAAACTATTTAATTGTAATTATTACATCTTAAACTAGAGAAATTCTCTTATCTATTTTAGATTGTGATATTTTATTAATCTATTTAATTTTATCTAAATCATCCCACTTGAATCCTTCAATGTACAGCAAATGAGTTATTGATTTATCATGTTCTAATTCCACACTATTAAATCTCTTTAATTCATCATATCGTTCTAGCAGTTGTTCCATTATATCTCCAAATAAAATAATAAATTAATAATTCAATATAAAATTGTGTAAAAACAGAAAAGAAAGATGAATCCTTAAGTAGTTTGTATTAGAATTGCTAATCTATATTTTATGAAATTTAATTAACTTTAACTGTATGTATAGAAATCTAATTTCTTTTAAATTAAGTCTATTCAGTGTTTTTGAAGTGAGTTAATTGTTTTTGTTAGAAATCAAAAAAAAAATTAAGAAATTTTACCTATTCTCTTAATTAATTTTTCTATTAATTAAATATTGATTTATATTTCACACTCTTAAAACACTACTAAATATAAAATATAAAATTCTTGAATTAATCATCTATTAATTTTATTTCCTTCTAGTTATATATGTTTTTAACAAATTAATAAACATTCATTCCAAATAATCCTAAAACCATAATTAATTAATATAATCATTTTCACTTTTAATTTTATCATTTTTAATTCCATTTTTGTAGATCTAAAAATTAAATTAAAAAAAAGATTTAAATAAAGATGAATATATTCTATTAATTTCTATTCTTTTGTTTATTGAATATAATATACACTGAGTTTTAAATAAGTTTGTATGATTTAGTTAAATAATGAATATATATCAAAGTTGATATTAAGTAGGTTTTGTATTATACATAATATTTTATAATTAATAAATATTTTTTGATTTATGTGATAAAATTTAATAGATTTAATTTATCTAGAAAAGGTAAATATTTATCATCTTAATCAATAATATCTTTTATTTATTAGCAAAAAAATGGATTATGAAAAGATAGCAGTTGTTATTGATAATGGATAAGCATATTGCAAAGCAGGTATTGCAGGAGATGATCAACCAAGATGCTGTTTTTCTGCAATTGTTGGAAGACCTAAAGATTAAGGAAATTTAAAAGGAATGGATAAAGAGGTAGCTTATGTTGGAGATGAGGCTTGGGCTAAACAAGATGTTTTAGAATTAAATTACCCAATTGCTAAAGGTATTATCAATAATTGGGATGGTATACAATGTGTATATAAATTATATAGATATGGAAAAAGTTTGGGATCATGCATTATTTGATGAATTGAGAGTTATACCAGAAGATCACCCAGTTCTTTTAACTGAAGCTCCAATGAATCCAAAAGAAAATAGAGAAAAGTTGATATAAATCTTATTCGAAAAATTCAATGTGCCATCATCTTACATTGCTATTCAAGCAGTGCTCTCACTTTATGCTTCAGGAAGAACAACTGGTATTGTTTTAGATTCTGGGGAGGGTGTTACACATACAGTCCCAATTGCTGAAGGTTATTTCCTTTAAGATTCAGTTCTTAGGATTGATTTGGCAGGAATAGATTGTACAAAATATTTGGTTAAAATAATGGAGGAATAAGGTCTTTAATTCAAATCACAATTTGAAATGGATATTGCCAGAAGAATGAAAGAGTAATTTTGTTATGTTGCTCTTGATTATGAAGAAGAAATGAAGAAATATTAAGAAAGTACTGCAAACAACAGAAGTTGTAAATTACCAGATGGAAATGTTATTGTTATCAAAGACTAAAGATTCAGATGTCCTGAATTAATGTTCAAACCATCCTTTATTGGTCTTGAAATTTAAGGTATTCATGAATTAACTTTCTAATCAATTATGAAATGTGATTATTATGTAAGAAAGGATCTGTAACAATTTTAAATTTATATATTAGTTTTCAAAATATTGTCATGTCTGGAGGTACAACAATGTTCACAGGAATACCAGAAAGATTGAATAAAGAATTAACATTACTTGCACCAAAATAAATGAAAGTAAAGGTTGTTGCACCACCTGAAAGAAAATTGTCAGTCTGGATTGGTGGATCAATTTTATCTTCATTATCAAATTTCTAAGATAAATGGATTACAAAATCTGAATATAATGAAAGTGGTCCAGCTATTGTCCACAGAAAATGTTTCTGATATATAATAATTAATAAAAAAAATAATTTTCATTTTGGATTATTCATTTTAATTTTATGGTCAATAATTGAAAATTCTTCTTTAGAACAATCTAATTATGTTGAATTAAATTAAGAATAAGCAAATCTTTTTCTCCAAGCCAATTAAGCTATTAATTCTACTTTTTATGATTCAATTTCAGTTAAAAATAATATAAATGGAGTGATAAATGCCACATACCATAAATTTCTTCTTCTTACAAATCCTTTACTAAATACAAAATTTAATATTTATTTTCTCATTTTTTAAAATATATTATTAATAATAATAATTAGGTTAATATATAAATAAATATTTACAAATATAATATAATCATAAAATAGAATGTAAATTATTTAAAATCTTTGCAAATTTTAAACAAATTTCTTAAAGCCATTCTTAATTGTTTTCCATTAAATTTTCAAAATGTTTTTTACAATGGAGTCCAAATATGAGTGATTCTTCTTAATCAATATTATCATCAATTATAATTGAGATATCTTATTATTTACTAATTTTAATTCTTCTTTAAAAAAGTTCAGTTGAAGGTTAATCTAATTATTTTAATTCTGAAAAGTAATCTTAATATAAAATTTATAATATTCCCATAATAGCAAGAATTATAAATTTACATTACATTTTATGATTTATATTTTAATAAATCATATTATTTGAAGATTCAATTAAATTAGATATCAATAATCTAAAAATGAAATATTCACTTATAATCATTTTTTCTTAATAAATTCCAATTTTAATAGTATTTTTTGTATAATATTTAGTTCTTTTAGCAACAAATAATGGAGCTTTGATATTTTAACTTTTAAACAATGATAAAAATAATGAAGTTTAAAATAATTCTGGAATTTTATCTTTTTCTGTAAATTTTTCCATATTATTTAGTATTTAAATTGTTAATAACATCAATTAATTTTATCTACATTAAATAGAACTTTCACTATTAGGATTTTTTGAATTCTCATTTGATTGTAATATAAATTATTTTGTAGAACATGATTTAATTAATGGATCTATAATATTAGATATCCATTATTTAATAATACCTTTACATAATAGTACATCTTAATTAGAAATTGTTTCAAGACATTTTGTATATTTTTATCTAATTTATTTCAATTATTATAATTTTTNAGTTAATATATAAATAAATATTTACAAATATAATATAATCATAAAATTGAATGTAAATTATTTAAAATCTTTGCAAATTTTAAACAAATTTCTTAAAGCCATTCTTAATTGTTTTCCATTAAGTTTTCAAAATGTTTTTTACAATGGAGTCCAAATATGAGTGATTCTTCTTAATCAATATTATCATCAATTATAATTGAGATATCTTATTATTTACTAATTTTAATTCTTCTTTAAAAAAGTTCAGTTGAAGGTTAATCTAATTATTTTAATTCTGAAAAGTAATCTTAATATAAAATTTATAATATTCCCATAATAGCAAGAATTATAAATTTACATTACATTTTATGATTTATATTTTAATAAATCATATTATTTGAAGATTCAATTAAATTAGATATCAATAATCTAAAAATGAAATATTCACTTATAATCATTTTTTCTTAATAAATTCCAATTTTAATAGTATTTTTTGTATAATATTTAGTTCTTTTAGCAACAAATAATGGAGCTTTGATATTTTAACTTTTAAACAATGATAAAAATAATGAAGTTTAAAATAATTCTGGAATTTTATCTTTTTCTGTAAATTTTTCCATATTATTTAGTATTTAAATTGTTAATAACATCAATTAATTTTATCTACATTAAATAGAACTTTCACTATTAGGATTTTTTGAATTCTCATTTGATTGTAATATAAATTATTTTGTAGAACATGATTTAATTAATGGATCTATAATATTAGATATCCATTATTTAATAATACCTTTACATAATAGTACATCTTAATTAGAAATTGTTTCAAGACATTTTGTATATTTTTATCTAATTTATTTCAATTATTATAATTTTTGAACTCTTTTTTGCCTAATGATAAGATAAAGTTAAATTCAATAATTACCTTACATATTATATTCAATGTTTCAATAGATGTGATTTAATTTGTATCAAAATGAATACTATATTTTAGTTTTCCTAATAATAAATTTTAAACATTCACAACCATAACACACTTATAAAATTAAAATAATGTATATTATTTAATTTCTTAATAATACAAAAAATAAAAACTTGATTTATATATAAATCATTTATAAAATGATCCACAAAATATATTAAATAAAATAAAATTTCTTTAAAATCCATATTTTAAAGAAACATAATATTAATAACATCATACATACATACATAAATATCATTTCATACAAAATTTTATAAAAGGTGAATTTTCAATACTTAAATCATATAATAAGATCATAATCCTTAAATATCTGATTATGTTTCATTGCATTATTTTCAAACATTTTTCACCTATTAAAATATTTATTAAAATATGGAAGTATCATATGAAGCTTGTAAATCAATGTTATTCTATAAAATGTATGTCTAAGACACTATATAATGCTCACATACACTATCAATAGGATTATTATTACTTTCATGATCATCCCTTTAAATTGATTAGAATTAGATATAAATATTCCCATGCTTTTTTGATGCAATTTAGGAATCATAACAATGAGCGGTTAATCATAAATAATATAAATATTTGGATGTCTTAAACAGAAAACAATTAGAAGAATACAAAATTAGAGCTATCATCAAAAAAATACAGAATAATCAGCTTAGAAGATAAGTAAAAAATAATGAAAGTTTTGTAATATAATAACACAATTGATACATTATCTACACTAAGTGCATAATATAATACATCAATAAAAAATCTTAGAAGATGGTATAATGAAGGTATAAATCGAAAACCAGGTTGTGGTAGAAAAAAACTTAATTTAGAAGCAGAGAAGAAATTATGTCTCTGGATTATTGAATAGAGTGCTAAATAAGGTAAAAGAGTGAGAAGAACTTAATTAAAAGACTAAGCATTGTCTTTATTTAATGATAAATACTTTAAGGCTTCAAAAGCTTGGTAAGATGAGTTTATTAGAAACTATGATATCAAATATTTAGTTAATGAAATTTTATTTAAGAAAGGTATGTTAAATACTCTTTAAAAACAAAAATTTTTAGAAATGTTGGATAAAAGAAATGCAGAGACAAACTAAAATAATTCTGATAATACTTCAAGTTAATAATAAGATCTTAATTAATCACAAATTCCTACCTCAATTAAATCTGAAGAGAATAATTAACATTGTTAAACAAGTGCATTTTGCTAAGATGATTATCAATGGTTTTAAACACCATAATTTGATGTTAAATTTGAAGAATCATTTAATTAATAAGTAGAGTTATCTATTAATCTTTTGAATGATGATTCCTGGGATTATAAAATCAATTAAGATGAATCATAAGTATCTGAATATGTTGGATTTATTAGTAAATAAAGAAAAAAACAATTGAAAAAGAAAACAATATATTGATTAGTATCTATCATATTAATATTTAACATTTTTATAAAATCTTGTATTTTCTTATTAATTTCATACACAGTAAGTATTTCAATTCAATTTTATCCAAAATTATCCATAAAATGCCATATTTCCAAAAAGAATTACATTCTTAAAAATTTTTAATATTTTCCATTTACATTTGATAGGGTATTCAATATAAAAATCTTATATTATATTCAACTATTTAATTAACTCTTTATTCATTTACTTTCAATAAATAAACTGTAAAGAACGAATTTTTTGAGGTCCAAATATAAAAAGGATTATCCCGTATTGTAATCAAAAAGTAAAATAAAAAATAAATCTTTATAACAATTTAAGATCTATATAAGGATTATATTTTTATTGAATTACATCATTAGAATTAAACTCTCATTTAGTATAACAAACATAAGATTATTTAAATAGAAAAAATAATCTAAGTTAAATCTGAGAATAATACAATTATTTTCTAAACTTCAATTTATGCTGAGAAAGGAATGATTTAATTTAATATCTGATTTTTAAAATTCAACATTAATAATAAATATTAGAATGTGACTGCAAATATAAAATGCTTATATAAATTTTATTTAATGAAAATAATTTGGATATAATCAACTTAAGAATCACATTTAAATTTGGCTAATAAATATATTATTTTAATCAAACATTTTTCAGAAATGGATCTTTATTAAGCCTATATTTTAACCAATATTTACATTATAAATTCTCTTTCTATTATTTTTAATAATTTAATGAATTTTAAATTTATAAAGGATCAATATGAATATTGATTTCTTTATTTTTAAACATCCCTAATATTGAGCATTAAGTAATTAAAATCTCAAAAGATATAAATTGGATATTTACTTTAAATAGATAGTGGTTATATTTTTAGAATGATAAAATATTAACTGATGATATTTGAAATATATTAAAATTTTTAAACTTAGAATGAGTAGAGAAAAGCATTGTATTTAAATTCTACTGCAAAATAGGCTATTCTCTTATATTTAGTTTATATAATAGAGGTTGTTCTTTCTTTAATGTCATGATCACAGAAAAAAGAAATCTATTTATATTTTTACTATCTATGTCAGAGTAATAATATTTAAGGAACAAAAAAATAAGTTACTTCTATATATTCTTAAAATTGTGCATATTTATTATGAATATAATGTGGTAAATAATAAGAGTACAAATTTTCATGTAAATCAATCCATTTTCCAATTTTTCTTTTTTTAATTCAAACAAAAAAGTAAAAAAAATTAAGAGAATTTATTGTCAAATTCTTTTTATCTATTTGATTTCATACTTCCTAAATGTTGTTATTATACATTATCATAATAACAAATGTGATTACAAATCTTCAAACAATTTACATTATTTTTATTTCATAATAATTTATTTCAACACATATAGACAAATTTATGTAATATCTATTTGAAATGAGCATGTTTATTATTACATGATTAAATTTCTTAATTTTATTATGTTTTGAAAAGTTATTAAATAAAATCCATTTATAAAGATCAATTTACTACATTCATGTCTTTCATTATTTAAGCATCATATTTCTGATTTTAAAATTGATCTACTGTAAATTATTTATATTTATTAATTATTTAGATCATTATCAATTCACTAATAAAATTTTGAAAACCAAAAGCAACTAGTTCATGAAATCTTTAATTATACTTTTATCATTAATTTGTTATTTTGGCCAATAAATTTTTATTTTAAAAGATAATCTAAACTTAAAAATAAAGTCAATAGAATAATCATTAAGATTGTTATTTCAACTGAATTTGTAAAATTAATAATCAATAAAGATATTCCAAATTATACTTAAGATTGAATTCTACTATAATTTATTTAATTTTGGATATTTATTTTCAATCATAACATTTTTTATGATCTACTACTTAAAAATTAGATGTGTTGCTATTACTTTAATAAATGTACTTAATTAATATTGGAGAAATGATTTATATTAAAATTGAATAAAAAGTAAAAAATTAATAAGTACTTCTTATTTTAGTACATGTTTATCATTTGAAGTTTTAATTAAGATTCTTAAATGAAATACTTAATACAAAAATTGTAATTCGAAAGCTCAAATCAATAAAAATTTCAACTTGAAATATACTTACTTGGATTAAGGTTTATTTTATAGATTAATAAGTATTAACCCTTTTTATATAGATTTAGATTCATTTATATCTATGGAAATTTAACTTACAAAAATGTTATGAAATATCCCTTTAAAAATTGGAAAGCTTATGTATAAAGAGTGGTGAAATAGATATCAAACTATTATTTAACCATTTTAGTTTTAATTGATATACTTTAAAAATAATAAATTTATTTAAATCTTGTGTTATGAAATTTTTTAATATCTTTGTTGATAATTGAAATTTGATTCATTTTAGATTTGCTATTATTTATATTTTATCCTCTAAGATGATTCTTATAGTATAAATAGATATGATAATACAATAGATTGATGATTATAATAAAAAGGATTAAAAATTTATATTTTTATGTAATATGGATGATAAAATCAATTAATCGTTTTTCTAAGCATGAGAATATGTGGTTCTGATTTATAATAATAATCATAATTAATCTATCCTTGAGATCCTTTATGCCAATACTTCTCCATTCATGTTCAGTAAGAAGTAGTCTAATTTTATAGATTTATTGTATATCTTAGGAGGTGATATTGTATTTCTATATTCAAATTCAGCATTTTTATATTTATCAGAGTAAGAAATATCTGAAAGACAACCAAGCATTCTTAAATTTATTAAATATCTATAAAATTGAACAAATATCAATGCTAAATAGATTGTCTTATTGAATTTAATAAAATTTATGTGAAAATAGTTCTAAATTTAAAATTTTGATATAGATTATAGTAATCTTATAGTTTTCTCTTGAAATTTTCATGTTAAGGTTAATAAAGAGAGCATCTTGAATATTAAGTTCAGAAAACACTTTTTCTTTTTATTATTATGTCCTTATTTAATAATAGTAGAGCAGTCCATTCTAGAAATATATTAATAAATATTTAAAATTTATCTTTTACTATTTTGCATTTCAAATAGGCATGAAAATATTTATATGTCTTTTACTTAATTATGAGCTAATTAAGAGCCTGAAAATTCAGTTTTTTTGATTATATCTATGTTTATTATGTATATCATCAAATTAATAGAACTTTATCTACAATTTTCAATATGAATTCTATAAACTATCTAATCTATGCTATTTACCTATCTTCAAATAATAGAAAAGATAAAATATACAATTGTAACTTTTAATTAGACAATTTCTAAATTAAAATTAAGTGTAAAATCATGGTTTTACGAAATTGTAAATATAGTAGAATAGGAAGGAATTTATAACAAAATATCATCATTTTCAGTTGCTAATTTATTATCTTCATTATATCATTAATGTGATGTTTCTATTAATTTGATTTCATTTTTCAGTATTCTTTTTATTTTATTTAT